TATTTAGATTTCTATTCTTTTTCTCAATAATGTAATGTACGGAACTAGCTACCTCACAACTTTCCATCCCGCAAATTACAAGTGTAATATTTCGCATTTAAGTTTGGTAGTGCGTTGGCGTAGTCTAAAGCACTTTATTTAGGTCTACCTTTTGTAGCTAGAAATCCCAAAATACAAATTTTCATTACGGACATCTTGACTGATGTAGTTTAACAGGCGATGTAGTCCATCGCATTACAGAATCTGCAGCTTTGTCAATTTCAACAGTTTTCTCTGTTTGCTACTTATTGTTGGTAATGAAAATGCTGGTCAGGAGCAATTCTTCTATTGCAGAGCAGGTAGTGTGGCCGAGCGGTCGACGGCGCTGGATTAAGCCTCCAGTCTCTTCGGAGGCGTGGGTTCAAATCCTACCACTGCCATGACTCCTTTATATGGTCAAAATTTATATTTCTATTCTTTCTCTCAATAATGTAATGTACGGAACTAGCTACCTCACGACTTTCCATCCCGCTGATTACAAGTGTAATATTTCGCATTTAAGTTTGGTAGTGCGTTGTGTCGTGGAAATTTTAGACTTTAATCGCTGAATTCGAACTTAAAGTAAGACGCACGAGAGTATGTTACAGTTTGACACTTTTAACAGGTTTAATTGCAAGTAAGAAACCATTTCTCAAATACAAGTATAAGCTTTTGCATTGATCAGATCAATCCCTATAGCAAGCAAGAATAGGTTTTGAGGAAAGTCTTCATCAGACAACAGGACAATAACCTGTGCTGGATCAGACTGACCTAATGATTACAACTTCTGCAGGGGTATTTAAAGGAATGAAGTTCGCACACTCATTGACACACCAACCTAAACAGAGATGATGGAGAACAGACGAGGTCCTTAGAAGATCTCACCAAACTATAGGATAATAAACATGACATATGGAGCTGTCAGGAAAACCAGAGGGTCACTCCCCAGTCAAGTCAAGGGAGGTCAGTTACAATTCCAAGCCGGCACCGCAAAGTTACTTAGTGACATCTATTTCCTCCCCAGGACCTTTCTAGAGGTCAATAGGTCAATAGACAGATGTCTCCTATCATGAAACTTATATTCCTGTCCTACAAAAAAGCTTATCCTAACATCTATAGGACTTACATGTTAATAAACTTCTTGAGTGATCATAAAATTCCATAACAATCTGCCCTTTTTAACATTATAAACCCTTAATCATGTTAAACAATTTAAGAGTGTCAACTCTAAATTTTAGTTCACTCAAGCTTAACCAATCAGGAATATATGGATCCACCACTGTCATATGTCTGGAACTGTAACCTGTTAAGAAAAATACTTTTACCAGACATAATACACAATCAATTGAAATAATCCAATGTCAGTACAGTACTTAGCAACATTCAACAGTGTCATTTTCATATTCTGGATTTCTAGTCCTCCATCTAGTGTGTGAGGAACTAATCATTAAGAAAACATCAGTAAATATGTTGGCACTCTTTGATCATCAGAAATGAAGATTTTAATCATGGTGTGAGTGTATAAATTTTCCTTTTCCATCTTCTCAGCTCTGGTAGGCTCCTTCAACGTCTTTAATGAGTGTGGCCAAACAGTGGCCATTCTTTAATAGTCCAGAGATGCAATATGTGTGTGTTCAATGTTCTTGTTTTTCCTTTGTACAACTCAAACCGACGTTCAAGATAATTTCTGAAATCTGCAACATGTTCACCTTTTTCTCTTTACAGTCCATAACTTCCTTGAAAAGTGTACAATAACATTCACACAATTTAGTAATTGCCTTCTTTGTGGTCTGGATGACACGTTTTTCCTTGGTTCTGGTTTGACCTTTTCTGTGGTCTGTACCTAAAGTCATTCAGTTAGCTTCTGATATATATGTGTGTGCGTGTGCGTGGGGGGTAGGGCTCAGATGCTCTGCTCCAGTTGTTCATGGTCCAACCTGTTGATTTTTAATGCGACACAACCTGCAAACAGTTATTGCATTCCATGTGTCAGTTAACATCTTTAACAATAGAATTTCATTGTGTTTACTGCTCAGATTTAATTTTGCTAAGCCAAATACATTTGTAATAGCTATTCTCCTCAATCATTCAAACGTTTAGACATTCTATCAAATTAAACACTTCAATTGCCTGAAATCCAAATTTAACAAATGCTATATTCTTGAATATGTTTATTACGTCACTTCCCCTCTTGTTTTCTCCTTCAGTTCATCAACAATGGAGAAAACAACCAACTGTCATAGACAAACTTGTTAAATTTATCTAAGATAAAACACATGACTAAAATATGGTTTATGACCAGCCATCTGTTAGCTCTGGGCTGAGCCACCTCACAATCACACAATAAACCAGCCCCCCCCTCTAAATAAGCAACTTGGGTGTGCCCCCTCTTTTGACCCAGAGAAGCACCCCAGGGAGGGTCAAAGAAAAGTTCATAAACACCCCTAAATTAGCAGAAACCATCTCTAGACAGGCAGACAAAGAGTTACAGTTAACTTTCTGCCCTTTTAACAATCAAGAACTCAGAATGTCTTAAACATGTTACTCAAAATAGGCGAAAGCCAATAATAACAATAAAAGGGTGTATCAGAAATACACTTAACCCACATGGTCATTCATTATATCATCATGCCAACATTTATAGGAACAAATCCAAAATGTCCTTATTCAACTTCACAAAACGAATAACCATAGCATATAACTAGAATATAATCTCCCTATAACCTAGAATGTAGTCCTCCTACAAAACAAACAAAATGGTACATATAGTATTCCAGGTAAAAACATGCAGAGTTATAATCGGAAATACTCTTAATTATGTCATTAGCGCAAATGTTACATAAGGCCTAAAAACAAACAATAATATAAAATAGGAATTCCTCGTGCACAGGAAAACCAGAAAATAAATTTGTCGACAAAACTTTGGCCTGGGACCCCTGTCCCAACTTCATGAAGCTTTACCCCAGATCATGCATGAATCACACCTAGGTCATTTTAATATGATATTTGCGTACGCGTACGAACGAACCTGGACAGCGAAAAATAAGACCTCTCACTAACAATGAGCTGATTTCTACTGAGAATTTACCCTGACAGTAGCTATATATGCAGTCCCCTAGTTGTAACCGGTAAACTAGGGACAATGAGATATCAACCATCATGGGTCCAGTCACGCTCCCCGAGCTGCACGGACCTGACAAACCCCGTTTATCAGGCGATACGCAATGTACGCTACACTACGCTAAACACCTAACTTTAAGCGTAAGCATAGTGCCAAGACACCGGTACTCCTCCCCAGTGGAACGAAAATCTCACACAACCATACGTCTGCATAGCAACTCAACACTCAGAATAAACAAGTCTTCACTTAACATCCGAACAAAATTACTTTTACTGTAAATACAGACAATTAACTAATTACAGGAATCACATGATGGTTTGATCTCACCGGGTTGATGTTTTCCTGCCCGTCCCCTCTGACCGTCAGTACCCCTGTCTGTGCCAGCCATGGGTCCTGTGACGCTCCATTTGGTCGTCTGCTGTTGTGCCATCACCATCTCCCATACTGTCTCTGTTCCCATGGTAATAGTCTCTAGTGTCCGGCACAGTGCAGTCACGAGCCCAGTGTCCAAATGCTCCACAGTTGAAACAGCTATCAGAGTTGGGACTTTGGCTGGAGTTATCATCACCCTGGTGTCTGTATTGTCCTCTCCTGCTTGCTCTCCGTCTCCGTCTCCCTCCTGAGTAGCCTCTGCTGTAGAAGTCCAGTTGGGCCATCTGAATTTGCGTTTCACGCTCCCGTCTTTCTTCGGTCTGTTTGTACAGCTGGTCCTCGTAGACTCTTTCAGCGTGCTTAAAATACGGCCAGACGGTTTCCATGCGACCCTCATCCAGGTCTACACAGTGGTTTTGAATGTGCTTCCTAATGTCTGGTAGAAGGCCTGCAACTAACCTCATTTTACACTGTTGCTCCCAGGCCGACTCTTCATCACCGTCCGGTCTCTTTCCCATTCCGCTGTGTAATTCAAAAGCTTTTTCGAGTCTATTCCTGTAGTCTGAAACTTTCTCGCCCAGTGTCTGTTTACAATCAGAGATCTTTTCCCAGTTCATTCGCTTAGGAAAAGCAGCGATAAGTCCAGTGCTCAGCTGTTCCACAGCACTCCGGTAGTCAGAGTGCGCATCCCAATTGAACATAATGTTTCTCTCGCTAGGCCAGTTTCTTTTCACTCTCCCCCATTTTAGTTGCAAGGCCTTCATCAAAATTGTTTCAATCTCCACAGAGGTCGGTCTATATTGATTCACGATCTTGTAGAAACACACGGACAAATTCCTCTCCACCTTCTGTTTCTGGGTCAGGTAGTGTAGAAGCCACGTCTCTCAGGTCGGCGGGTGACCACGGTCTGTAGACTAGTATAGTCGCTGGGTTATCCGTGTCTCCTCCACCAGCTGGGTTGGCTACCTCCACCATATGGAATTGCCCTGGCATCAAAGCTGTGTTGTTCTCTGGGACAGGCTGCAGTGGTACTCTGGGTCCTCTCAGCGGCGGGTGAAACTCTGTCGAGGCCGAATACGGATGGGTAGAGTCCTCCTCCGCGAATGTTTTCCATCAGGTCCGATGCTGTTGGCATAGTTGGTACCGCTGGGGCTGTTGTGGTAACGCCGCGATAGGGTGGGGGTCGGTCAGCAGGAGGACAGGCAGCATCAACCTGGTTGGGACAAGCTAGAACACACCGATTAACAAGCCCCGTGCTACACCGCTTAGCCCGTATATCAGTCTGCTCTCTCCACTTATTATATGCCTTCCAATCAACTTTCTGCCGATTACCCCGTGAAACCTTAATTTTACCCTGTTCAAAATCCTCCAACTTGTCTTTCAACAACAGTATCTGTCTCTGACTAAAACTGCCATCAGCAGGAAATCCCAATAACTCCCACAGGTCTAATTGTTTGCATGTCCAGTCTCCATATTTGTCTGTCATTATTTTAGCCGGTCCAACAACGTAACGTTCAGTATCCACCGAAGGTTTACCAATACACATGTAATTACCCATGTTGTTATCGATATTTAAGAGGCAAAATCTAATTTTAGCCTATAATGAAGTCTCCTATATGTGTTAATGAACTCGTCAGTTCTTTTAAGTGAGATATCCTGAATAACCGAGCCGTCTCACCGCACCCAGATAACCTATATTGAACAACATTTTATTCCTACTGTATACAGGTATTAACACTTCATACAGGTAAATATTGCTCCAGTCTGGCGCTCTCCACTCACCCATTTGTTGAGGAGGATTGGAGCTGCAGAAATTAATAATTCCTGACGTGCACGTTTTACCAGACCAAAATCAACAAATACCCGATTAGAAGTACTGTTTTCCATTTTTAAGCCAAGTTTAAAATC